ACCATCCGCATAGAATAAACACAGAGTGGGGATTGGGTCTCTTTAAAAAACAGACGGTAGTTGGGGTAGAAAGGGTAGTTGCCATTCAGATTCAGCTTCAAGGGTGGGGGTTGGGGTCTCTCTAAAAAACAGATGATCGTTGGGGTAGTAAGGGTAGTTGCCATTCAGATTCAGCTTCAAGAGGGGTGGGGTCTCTCTAAAAAACAGACGGTAGTTGGGGTAGTAAGAGTAGTTGCCATTCAGATTCAGCTTCAAGGGTGGGGGTGTGGTGTCTCTAAAAAACAGACGGTAGTTGGGGTAGTAAGGGTAGTCGCCATTCAGATTCAGCTTCAAGGGTGGGGGGTCTCTCTAAAAAACAGACGGTAGTTGGGGTAGTAAGGGTAGTTGCCATTCAGATTCAGCTTCAAGGGTGGGGGGTGGGGTCTTACTAAAAACAGACGGTAGGGTAGTTGCCATTCAGATTCAGCTTAAAGGGTGGGGGTGGGGTCTCACTAAAAACAGAAGATGATTGGGTTACCTCCTTTGTTTAATGGAACACCAAGTATAAGGTTAGGTATTCAAATATCAGAATGAATTGTAAGAACTCTCAGGGAAAGGAATTGAGTCTTTGTCACACATTCTGATTTGTTAACCCCTATATCTTTGCAACCCAATGACATAGATATTTAAAACTATGAATTCTGTTAGATCAAATAATATAAGTCAGAAATATCAAAGATTTGAATAATCAGGTTGTAAAAATCAGAGATGAGAAAAATTGAGTTTGTGGCAAAACTCAATTCATTTCAAAACGTATCTGTTTATCCTTATTTGTTCCAAAATAAGGAATATATTTTTTCTTTAAAAAGTTAGATGGTTATTGCTTTATTAAAGTGGCAAAAATGGGAATAAAAAAACGTCGAAACACTGTCTCCAAAACGCTTCGGTTAGTGTACTGAAAATAACTGCAGAACGTACTGAACGCCTAGCTAGGGTTGAAGAATAAAGGTGGAATGGGTACCGTTGTGAATCAGGCTTTTAAGCTTTAATGGAGTGATCATTACGTGAAATTATAATGGCAGGCCCTTTCATTAGCACACTTGTATGCGATTCCATTAGCGCCTGATCCAATCAGGGTTCACTCACGTGTTTGTTGTCTATTCTGAACCAATAGAAATAGTTTGGCGGTAACATCTATCTTTCTATCTATTTCATATCCAATTAGAGATAAATCCTTTAATCGGCGTTAACAGAAAATGGGATATTTACTTTTACTGAAACCATAGTGTTAGGTTCACTTAAAAATATTAATGGTGTACATTATCGAACTCTTTGATCTGTCCTAGATATCAAGTATTGGACAATTTGCATTTATGAATTTTAAATTTGCAGCATTGAAGTTTACTGTTCGATTTAAACTATTTTCCTTTATTTGATTTTAAATTAACTCAATGCACATATTTAACACGAACCTTGCTGGCAAGCTAGAATATTAAATTAAAATTTTAATGTTAAATGGCTTAGCAAGTTAGCATATCATGGAAATTAAGCCTGAAACATTAAGATATCCATGTTTATTTTTCATTTACCATAATAACTCATGATAATTTTGACCGATTTGCCTCAAATTTTGATTTGGGAAGTTGATAGACACAAGGAATGTTCTAAGTTGAGTGAGTTGACTTTTATAGGGTAAACTCCAAGCAGAGCTAGGTTCCCAAGCTATTAGGAATATATAGAAACACTAGCTTGGGAAACCAGCTTTACCGGAAAACTATTTTTTTGTTAAAAGTCAATTTTGTACGATAGGGTGGTTTTACCTAGTTCTCCAATTCAATTTTGAGGCAAATTGGTTAAGTGGTCCATGAGTTTAAGACGACCATTTAAACAGACATCCCAACAGAGATGGCAACTGTTTATATTTAGATAACATTCTTAAACGAGACTATTAATGTGTTCCTTACATTTTTCTCGCAACTTAAAGACGAAATGCCAGTGATTCCTCTTTCAGGATTTAAATTAAATTCTTCAAAGTGAATAAGAATTTTAACCATATTCCTGCCTGGGGGGGGGGGTCAATTTGACCCCCCCAGGCAGTTTTTTTAGTGAACCCAAAAAGTTTCGGTCTGAGGCTGTTGAATTTTTTTTACTTTCCTAAATACCCTCCCTTTCGGTCTCAAACCGGGAATTTATACTAACTTCCTAAGTATTCAGGCACATTGCCTGAATGACTTCTTTTTCCTGTAACAAACTAAATCTTTGTTTTGACCCACTTTCAGTTGTCAGATTTTGATAATTTTTAACTTTTTGGAAAGTCTGTGACGCATGAAAACGAATTGCACAAGTTTTGCAAAGAAATTTCTGAAAATTTTTTGAATACAAAAAAAAATTGCGCATTTTTAATTTTTCTTAATTACAAATCAGGTTATTTAAAATTTTGCAAAATGTTTTGCATATTTGCAATGGCATGGTCAAGGGCATTTAAAAAAGGATATCTTATCTTTTTTTGGACATTTTTTTGCAAATATTTTTAGTAGGTAACTGGATTTTGCAAAAAAAAATTAAAATTTAGCATTTTTGAAATTTTTTTAGCCGATTCTTAAAGTATTGCATAAGAGCTTTCCAATGATGTATCAGTTTTTTTTATTTGGACATCAAACATGGGATTTAGAGGGGATGAAAGGGTCAAATTGACCCCCCCCCCCCACATATTATGGTTATCAAATACCCCAGTAAGGATAAGGTTAAATACTTAGATTATTTTGGGAGGTTTAAATAATTTTATGGTATTATTTTCAAAAAGTTTACTTTTAACAAAATAAAAATCACTTGATTTATTAGCGTTGTATAACCTTAATAGACATATCAATATTTATATAAAACTGATATAAAAATNTTTTCTCTATTGCTATTTAATTAAACCTAAAGAGGCAAAATTTAAATTGTTTTTTGTTAAAAAACATTTTTTCTTATTGCAGATAGTATAGTACAGCCTACAGGGCGATAAAAAAGTCCGGTCTGTGTAAAAAAAAGTTTTGAAAAGCCATTAAAAAATGGATTTATAAAAATGTGTCACGCTTTAATATCTGTTTAAAAAAAAAAAAAATATTTTTTCAACCCTTCCTGGCACCCAAAATATTAAAGTTTTTGGTTTAATTTTTTTTCTTCAATGAGTTGGCCTTGAAAAATTGGGCTATGATGAAAATTCTATATATATATATATATATATGTATACATATATGTATATAAAATCTCAAAATAGAAATTGTACATTTAGATTATTGGTAAAATAAGACTTTATTCATTTGTTTTTATATTTTAGCTCTCTACCTGGACTGTTTTTTTTTATTCTGTAATTTATGATTCTGGTAGAGCACAGGTTAAATCATTTATCTGACAATTATGGTTGTCTACACATATATTTATTGACGTTTGGTATATAGCAAAAAAAGATTTCTTCATTAAATGTGCAAATGGCCTCGGAAAGATCAGAGCATTATTTTAAGTCCGCGTCTTCAGAAAACATGTTTTTTGTTGAAAAAGATGTGACATGAAATATGAAATTGAAAATGTTCATGTTTTTATTTTCCGGATTTTCACGAAATATAAGGTTTTCAAAAAATGAATGCATGCAGTTAAACATAATTTATTTTCAATCAGAGATTTTTTGAAACATACTTCGAAAATGAAACACAAAAAAAGATAAAAACCAGTTTACATAGAGCAAATAAAAAACTTTTGCTGGGTTTTATTCAGATATTTAGAGTATAGACTGAACGCTAAACTTATGTTTTAAATCAGCGCATATAATTAATTTCTTTTTGCACTTGTGCATGCTTGTACATTTGTGAAATTCATGGAACTTTTGCAAACCTCATACTTTTGCTAATCAATCTTTATTAGTTTCTTTCATTGAACTTTATTTTTCCATTAGAAAGTTCTAAGAAAAAACATGTGCAACGAGATTCTTTTTACTGCTAGGGATTTGAGTCTGTACTACAAACTCGGATTTTCTAATCCCTATATCTTCGCAACTTGATCGTTTGAAATATCTACGGTCCACAAAATTGGGTTGTAAAGATGTAATGATTGGAAAATCAGAGTTTGTGGCAAAGACTCAATTCCTTTATTTTCTTAAATAGAATGAATCACGCCCAAGCGTATCTAATAATAGCTAGGTATGCCCGGACAGTAGTAGAAACGTACACACCACGTTTATTGGTTAAAAGTGAAAGTTCGAATATAAAATGCATATGCATTTTTTATCAATCATTAAAGCAATAAGCGACTTTAAAAAATTGGGCAACATTATCAACACGAAATCCCAAATGTTTCTACTTCACAGCTTTTTCCTTTATTAACCTTTTGTTTGCTTATAATTGCAAAAAATAGCTATAAATCTAAATTATGTTTGTCATGCAATTTAAAGATCAATTTTATTAAAAAAATTATTAATTTATATTTATTGGCATGAAAGATTGTACACAGTACAGAATGCGTTGAAAGTTTTGTACTTTAAAAAATTTGTCTGATGTTAACAAAAAACATTTATGCAAATTCAATGAAAAGTTTTATTATGTATAATACAGCTGTTTCGTTGAAAGATGAATTGAAAAAAGAATTTAAATTATGAGCTGTAAAATAAATGGCGTGGAAGAATTGAAACATTTTCTAGAAATAGAAAGCTAAAAGAAAATCTCGAATCAACAGAGAGACAAATATTTCTCAATATATAAAATGAAAATATTTATGCAAAAATATTTCCATTTTGTTTTTCTTTGACTAAAAATATATCTGAGGGGTTTATTTTAAAGTTAAAATTTGTCAAAACAGAAATAAATATGGAATAAGGAAAAGCATATTTTTAGATGAAACAACAATGGGAAAATATAAAACTAGTTTACATTTCGAAACTTCAATAATTGTGTTCAAAAGTATGATAAAACAGTCACAAATTATTTACTTAATTATCGTAACTTCGAACAAAATTACTAATAGTTTGATATAATATAGGGCATGTATTTACTATCTTTTTTAACGTGTATTATGAAGACAAGACTACAAATAAAAAACCTACCATGAGCGTCCATTGGTTATCTCTGGTTAAAGACTGGAATCTCTGGTCCTGAAAGGGAGTGTAAAATTATGAAATTATGAAATTATGAAATTATGAAATTGTGAAATTATGAAATTATGAAATTATGAAATTATGAAATTATGAAATTATAAAATTATGAATTATGAATTATGATATTATGAAATTATGAAATTATGAAATTATAAAATTATAAAATTATGAATTATGAAATCATGAAATTATGAAATTATGAAATTATGAAATTATGAAATTATGAAATTATGAAATTATGAAATATCAACTATATACGAATGCGTTGAAAAAATATCGTTAATTATTGGTTGTAATATCTGAATGATTTTTTTACGATCTGAGTTGAATGTTGCAACTTTCCAAAGGAATTGAATCTTTGTCACAAACTCTGATTTTCTAATTCCTATATCTTTGCAATCCAATGTTGCAGACATTTGACATTTCAAACTATGACTTCTGTTAGGTCAAATAATATAAGTTTGAAAAATTAAAGATTTACGACATTGGGTTCAAAAGATATAGGGATTAGAAAAACAGAATTTGTGGCAAGGACTCAATTCCTTTGTATGGTCGCTACGTTCTTCAGCATTAGTCGTATTTAACAATTTTCTCCTATTAGAGGTACCAGATAGAAGTAAGATTAGTAGCTATCAAAAGCGACTATTTTTCGCCGTACACTGTATTTAAAGTGATTACCAATTATACCACTTTTTATCAAATCTACTTAAAGCATATACAGGGTGTCCCACATCTTATTAAAAATATATAAAGCATATACAGGGTGTCCCACATCTTATTAAAAAATATTTAAAGGGCTGAAATGAAAATGTGCTTATTTCGACGTTATAGCTTGGAGATAATCCAATATGATATGGGACGCTCTGTATACAGATATCATTGTGAACTAGAAAAGGAGGGTAAGAAAAAGTTAAGTCTTTGCAAACAAACTCTGATTTTCTAATCTCTTTGTGACCCAATGTCGTAGATATTTTAAACGACGAATTCTGATAGATCAAATTATTTAAGTGTCACCAGGTTGGAAAGTTATAAGTAGTTGAAAATTAGATTTTGTGGCAAAGACTCAATTCCTTTATGCGATATACATCATTCTTATTTTTCTCTATTGCTATTTAATTAAACCTAAAGAGGCAAAATTTAAATTGTTTTTTGTTAAAAAACATTTTTTCTTATTGCAGATAGTATAGTACAGCCTACAGGGCGATAAAAAAGTCCGGTCTGTGTAAAAAAAAGTTTTGAAAAGCCATTAAAAAATGGATTTATAAAAATGTGTCACGCTTTAATATCTGTTTAAAAAAAAAAAAAATATTTTTTCAACCCTTCCTGGCACCCAAAATATTAAAGTTTTTGGTTTAATTTTTTTTCTTCAATGAGTTGGCCTTGAAAAATTGGGCTATGAACAAGGCCTTTTTCTAGGGAAGGGGGGGGGCGTCAGGCTATAGATTCAAACCCCTCAGCCTTTATAGGGTTGAAGGAGATAAAAGATTTCAATATTACGTGTAATTTACTTTAATTTGTTTGTGGTGATAAATCAACAAAAAAATCTATTTGTTTAGCATTTTATTTTCAAAACAGAATGTTTTCATGCAAAGCTTAACCCTATCTCTGCTGGGGTACTTGAAAACCAGGATACGCTGGGGGGGGGGGTCAATTTGACCCCCCCCCTCTAAATCCCATGTTTGATGTCCAAATATGACAAATGATACATCATTAGAAAGCTCTTGTGCTCTACTTTTAGAATCTGCAAAAAAAATTGCAAATTTGCAAAAATTGAATTTTTTATCGCAAAATCCTGTTATATAGTAAAAATGTGTGCAAAAAAAAATTTGTCAAAAAAATGAAAAATTATACATTTTTGAAAAGCCCTTAACCATGCCATTTCAAATATGCAAAAGTTTTTGCAAAATTTTTAATAACATGATTTTTAATCAAGAAAAACTAAAAATGTCCAAATTTCCTTTGACAGGTTGTTTGCAAAAAATTTGCAATTTTTTTTTCGCAAAACTTGTGCAATTTGTTTCCTTTTGTAAAAGGCTTTCCAAAAAGCTAAATTTTATCAAAATCTGACAAGTGAAAGTGGGTCAAAACAAAGATTTAGTTTGTTACAGGAAAAAGCAGTCATTCAGGCAGTGTCCCTGAGGACTCAGGCAGTTAGTATTAAAGCCCTGTTTTAGGCCTAAAGGGAGGGCTATGGGTATGTAAGAAAAGTCAGAAAATTTCAACAGCCTCAGACCAATACTTTTTGAGTTATGTAAAAAAAACTACAGGGGGGGGTCAAATTGACCCCCCCCCCCCAGCGGGAATAGGGTTAATGCAATGCGATCGATTAGTCCGATTTATCAAAATAAGCTATTACACTTTTTTTATAAGATTAATCATAAAAGTTTCTGTAAAACCTTAGAGTTCTGAAAAAATATTCAATACCCCTAAATATTCTATTTTAAGATAAGACCCAATAGTTTTAATTCTAAAGTATATTGTTAACACTTTTTTAGCGGGTTCGTTTTAAATTCAATTTTTTGAGCTGCAATGATTATTGTTAAAAAAATTATTTCGTTTTATGAAGACGACAGTACACTTCAGATAAACAATATGTTTGTTTTTAGAATTGAATAGTATTCCATTTAATGTTGTACATTTGTGATTTGTCAATTTCTGACGATATTTTGATCTAAGTCTTAATAAATCACTGATCTATATCTTCTAAACTCGATAACCACTGTTTTAAAGCGATTCGTTAAATCCATAAAAACGGCTTCAAATTTTCGCAGATTCTCTTTTGGGGTCTTTGGGAGATGAGATTCACTAAAAAAAATTTAGCTTATGAGATCGGAATCTGTGTGGATTTTGGTAATCTTGAGCACTTGATGTCGTATTTAATGTGAACACTATCGATGAATTCTATAATATAATATAATAATATAATATAATATCGATGAATTCTATAATATAATATAATAATATAATATAATATCGATGAATTCTATAATGTGAACACTGTTCGATTCCTTAATTAAATATATCCCTACAGGATATGACTTTCAAAGGATATAAAAGATATAAGATCATCAAAGATCTATAGAACCTGTTTACAAAAATATAAGAAATAAAAACCGTCGCTTCCTCGCTTGCAGAGGAAAATGATATATTTTTTTTTGTCTTAGATGCTGAGTGTAGACAGATACAGATAATAAACGCAATAAGACCAAGCAATTGAAAAATGAAAAGCTATAACGTTACAGATTTTTTATATAAATAGGTCTTCCACAAGAATTTGAGTGGTTTTATCATATTTAAAATATATGTTTGCTAGAACTATACTTTATAAATGTTCTATACCCTGGCATAAGATGTATTATCAAAGCAAAAACTAAAAACTAAAAGTGAAACGAAAAGTGAAAAATCGTTAAATCTTATCTTTTCTTTCAGAGTAAAATAAAACCAAATATTTCAAACCGAAACCAAATCTATGCCTATTAGATACCGTTTTGAATGTTTACCTGAATAAAAACTTCATTATCTACTGCTAGAATATGTCCATCAGTCCCTCGCACCCAGGACACAGATCTAAACATGGATTCATTTAAAAAGTGTTTATTTCCGATAATTTCTCCATCGTTTCTTACATGCAAGAAATGTGCCATAGTAACTATAACAGAGTAACAACAAATGAAGCTATATTTTTTAAATATAGCTTTCTACTTCATTCTTTATCGGGCAACGTTTTTAATTATATTTAATAAATTTACTATTTTTAAGGAATTTAATTTAGTCAAAAAGCAATTTTTAAATTTTGAACTCAATATCTTAACAAGACTAGTGCCCACGCATATATTAATATTGTAAATATTAAATATTAAAACGTATAAAAATTTTCAATCGTACATTTTTTTACCTCACCTATTTGTCACAAAAGCATTTAGATTTCATTTCTTAGTGGGGAAATGTTGTTGGATTCATTTTTAGGGCGAAACTAGGATTTGGACACAAAACTTAAATCCCAGAATAAATTTGAAATAATTGCCTAACCCATCCTCCCCTGAGGCCCCTCACCTACACCCTGCCTTCACCTTCAAGCCTGATTATCTTGTCAGGTCATAGCATTCCTGGTTAGGCAATAAAACTGAAAACTAACAACTGAAGCAGAAAATGAGTGTCCGCTGAATCAGAACACAACATACAATTCAATTGAGTAGAGTGTCTCAACAAATATTGGTTTCGAATTTTTTAAAAATGATCAGAATCAGGAACAGTTTTGTTTTGTTTTGTTTTGTTTTGTTTTGTTTTGTTTTGTTTTGTTTTGTTTTGTTTTGTTTTACTTGAAAACGATCATCAGTATTCAATTACTGGGAACAACCAGGGAATAGGAACAAAGAGAATGAAAATGGGGCTGGTCTGGCATGAGAAAGCCAGCCGCACTGCTTTGTAGACCAGTACGGTAAACCTTATACACACTCTCTTGGTACAGACACACAACATGATTACAAACAAGGAAATTGCAGAACAATGTTGTCAATTATAATTAAGCTTGCATAACGACTTTATTTATTGTAAACTTTAATCAAATTATATTAGTTGCATGAAAATTTGGCTTATAGTGTTGACTTAAATATATAAATAATATACTACATGTATATTAAATCTATTTTTAAGCAAACAATTAACAACTTTCAGTACAGTAAGCTTTACACACACTCTTTTGGTACAGACACACCCCCATGTTGTTTCCGTCCCCCTGGGAACAACTTCCGCGAAACAGTTTGTTCACATAGAAATGAAGTGTTTTTTTTTCAAGAAATGGTAACAGAAATTGTCGAAAGAAAAATAAATAAACTGAGTTCACTCTATAAGATAGAAAAAAGTTTTATGAAAAAAGTTTGAGTCTATGTTGTCCTTCATAAAAGTGTCTGGAAAGAAAATATTCTAAGATAGTTTCAAAGAAATGAGATGAGACAGTGATTTGTAGATCAATCCCTCTCCGTCCTTTGCTTTCATCTGAATTCTATATTGAGATTGTGAACAGAATACTCACACATAAAAAAACATGTTTTTCGAGCAAAAAAAAAGACTTTTCAATTTTTTTACTTGTAATTACTCTTGTCTTAAATTATGATAAGGTTTGTTTTGACCCTATACAGGTATTCTTGATTCAAATGGGTAAAAAAAAAGAATTTCAAAATAAATCTTAAAAACAAAAAACAATAATGGTTGAGATGTTATCCCTTTCTTTCTGGCTCGAATTCAAGTGTGCAAATCTGCATAAACAGTTTGCATTACTGCATTTTGGCCTGATTTTCAGATTAAATTCTATTGTTTCATTAGGCTCTATAAATGTTCAAACTTCAAAGCCAAGATGCAGGAGATGCATTGGATTCAACTTTGTTCTTGTTATTATGATATTTGTTCGAGCATGATTGATGGTTCTTATTTCAAGGTAATTTAATTAATATTTTTACGCCTAGCACACTATTAACTTTAATTTTACACCAACCATAAAGATTTGATGCAGAGGCAACTGAAAACATTATATTTCTAAAGTGTTTATGTTTGTTTGTGAGCCTGATGTTTTAATCAACTTAAACCCAGAGACTAGGGATGGACATTGTCTTAATTTTGAGTAAAATTATTTAAGAATTTTCGAAAAACCCGTTTATAAAGAAACTAAATATTTCGTTATTTTTCCTGGCATAGCTTCACTTAAATTAAATTGTGCCTTTTTTTGTCCAAAATTTAAGTTTTAATGAATAAACTGAAATTTTGTTATATCTAATTAAGTTATTTATTAAAATACGAGCGGTTGGTTGCAAAATAGACATCAACCGTTTAATGATTTTATCCTACCGTTATTGAAAGGATTAAAAAACATTTATTAGTTTTCATTTGTTGCTAACATATATAACATATATGCCAATATTACAGATGAAGCTAATCTATTTTGCTATTAGATTTCTCGGTATAAAACTTTGCTGATACATTGTGTTGATGTCATTTTTTCCTATCTTCCTTTAAGCCTTTAGAAATGTTTATCCTTGTCATATTGCATTTTTGTTTTTAGAAAAGAAGAACCGGAAATGATAAAACAATTTTATAAATGCATTTAATGAAACACTAAAACCCGCTGATAAAAAATCTATATATAATGGAAAAATTTCAAAATTTCAAAATAGACATAATGTAATAAATATCGTTTAACACGATATCTGCAAACCCAAACTAAGTTTATCTAAATAAATTGATATGTTATAAAGTAGTTAAACTATCCATTTTCAGGTAAAAGCTCGAATTTAATGAAAAATAAATTAATACAACTTAATTTATAAAACTAAGCTTTAAGGGTACCCATATTCTATTTTAACTTTTAATCGTGGATCTTCCCTTTCTGCAATATAACACAATAACAAAAAAGTTCTGATTTTGGGCATCCATGTATGGTCCCATACAAAGTTTTGGTCCGATCTGTTTAGCCGTTTTGACGTTCATGGTATAAAAACGGACAAATAGACACCCAGACAAGCAAATTAGATTCATATTTATAACAACATTGGCTCACAAAATATTTGGGGTTTCATCAAACTCCACCAACCCTCTCCTGCAGCTTACATCAATTGTTCCTTTTAGACAAGTAAACAATTCCATTGAACTCTACCATTGAGTTCTCTTTAATTAGAATTATAGTAAATGAATATTGGGCATTGATCAGTTATTCAAACTTAGTTCACTGTTTATAAATGGGATTGCACAGTTTTAGAACATTCAGGACTTTATTGCTCCACAAAAATCTGATATCAAAATTGTATTCTTGTAAATAAGTTTCTTTCTGTTAATGGAATTGAGTCTTTGCCACAAATTCAGTTTTTGTAAAACCTATATCTTTGCAACTTTATGATTTGAACCTTTGATATTTCAAACTTACACTATTTGATCTAATAGCATTCATAGTCTGAAATATTAAAGGTCTACGACATTAACTTGCAACGATATTAAAATGAAAGAATCAGAGTTTAAGACAAAAACTCAATTTCTTTTTCAACATATTTATTCTAAAAATGGAGAATCCAAAGAATAAGTTTTGTCAGTTACCTTTATGTAACTGGCTAAATGGAAATGAGTTTTTGCCACAAACTCTAACTGTTTCCCCGCTATGTCTTAGCAACCCGAGTCCGAATTTTTAATGAATTTAAGCCGAGTACCGTCTGAAATTCCCCAAAAACCGGTTTTAATTGAGTGCCAGCTTAAATCTTAAAAGATTTAATACAATTTTAAGTGGAACCAACCATATTTAAGCCTCGGCTTAAATTCTTTAAATTCGGCCTGCTATGTCGTAGACCTTTAATATTTCAAACTATGAATTCTGTTAGATCAAAGTCTAAGTTTAAAATACCATCGGTTTACACGATCTGGTTGCAAAAATATAGGGATTAGCAAATTTGAGTTTATACCACAATGTAAAGTATACATCCTAGTTGAGCACACTAGTTAGATTTTCATACTTTCCGGTCATATTGTTTCTGATCTCCGAAGACAATCCGTGCAAGGGTCTCCGATGAAAATATTGGGGCCTCCGATTAAAATCTGAAGTTATCCCACGAGACTTTAATGGGGGTCTCTGATAATACTCCAATGTTAAAATTAAGACATTATAGAAAACATTAAAAACGTTTTGCCCGGTCCTTTTTCATAGTAGTTTTTCTAAAAAAATCTAATATTTATGAATATGTGCATCTAAAAAATGTATATGATGTAAATTAAATTTGTTTAGAAAGACAAATAAAAAAGTCTTTTTAAATTTTTTTAAAAGTCTTAATTAATAAAAAAGTTATTAAGCATTTTGATTTTTTTAAACACCACCCGCTGTTTGACCAAACTCCACCCTACCCTATGCATCAAAAAAAAATTCAGCAAAATTGTTGCAACGATCATGTTAAAAAAGTGAAAAAGTTTTAGCGTTCTAATGTAAGCCATTTTTAAGTCATTCAGAATAAAGCACAGAGGGGGGGGATGGAACCCCCCCCTAACCATGATAGGGTTAACATTTTCAAGTGGTTCTGCCAAAAACAATTCATTCATTTATTTTTCGTGTTGGTCTTATATCTTCTATCAAATAAAAAAGTGGCCAAACGAAAAAAAATAAATTGTGAAACATGAAAAGCATCTCACATATGCCAATATAATTCATGTCTCTATATAGTATTTTTAAAACTTTATGAAGACTACTGTAAAATATTGTAACCGCTCTATTCAACAATTTACAAGTCATTTAATAGCCAATATAACCAAAAATATAATACAATCTCAAATATCTGATCGATAATTCTTTTCTAGAACTGAATTTTCCACTTTCAAATTTTGAAAAACTTGTTCGTAACTTGCTGCATGGTAGAATCAAAGAAAGGAATTAAGAATTTGCCACAAACTCAAATGTTCAATCCTTAATTCTTTTCAACCTTTCAAAATTTCAAGCTTAGATTTTTAATCTAAGCAATGCAAAAATATAAGAATTAGGAAATAGAGCTTGTTGCAAATACTCAATTCCTTTATTAGATACAAGTAACTACTTATATTCTAAA